TAAATTTCCCATATTTCCAACAAAAAATGTTGGTTTTATTTGTGGTACTTTTTTACGTACCCAATAATTATAATGAAATCTTAAGACATAATAAAAAAATCCAATAGTCAAGAGTAACAAAAATATTGTTGTATCCACTTCAGGCAACATTTTGAACTGAATGAGCTCCGGAAATTCATTACGAAATTTATTACATCGGGACACCATTCATAATATCAGTTCTAGTGAACAAAAAAAGTCAAAAGCCAAAGTTCTTGTTTTCATTTATAGACTTCAACAAAACCAATTTAAATATTTTGAGATGCTTTGGAAATAACAAAGGAAAATTTATACATATATATATATATATATAAATATTTCATTCATTAGTTTCAAAATATTGAAAATATGTTTGTTAAATTTTACAAAAACGGTTTAACAACTTAATTTATAAGAAGATTTGCACTTATCGTACAAGTGATGTGTTATGCTATATATAGTTAAACATCATTCTATAGTTTCTTTAAAATATGGTATACTTCTTATATTAAAATTTAAAAAATTGTAGATTGAAACATATGTACTTTAATAATTGATTTATATAAATATTTTCTTTCAGATTAACATTGACATCAGCCATGGTATATATCTATCTGCTAGCAGTCTGCTTTATATTTTTAATTATTACTTTCATATGGATCAGATATAATTATTCATATTGGCAAAGATATGAAATACCATATATTAAATCTATACCTTTCATTGGTAATTTAAAAGATTTGTTTCTAATGAAGTACTCATTTGGAGATTTTTTTCAAAATTTATATCAAAAAGGGAATAGTAAATTATTAGGTATACATATATTGCATAAACCTGCTTTGTTGATACGTGATCCATATATAATTGAATTAATTTTAATTAAAAAATTTAACTATTTTTTAAATCGATTTGAAGCAGCTGATCCATATAATGATTTACTAGGCTCTCTTACATTACCACTAGCAAAATATTCAATTTGGCATGATAGTCGTAAAGCAATATCAGCACTTTTTACTAGTGGGACTCTAAAGAATAGAATGTTTCCAATTATTTTGCAAGTAGCTGCAAAACTACAAACATATATAGATCTTAAATTTCAAAACCATACCATCTCACCAATAATTGAGGTGAAAGAAATGTCAGCAAAATTTACAACTGATCTAACTGTGAAGCTGTTGTTTAGTGTTGAAGAATTTAGTCTTCAAAATAAGAACTCAAAATTTCGCACTCAATGTCGAAAAGTACTTGAGCCCAGTCTTATAAAGATTTTACATTTTCTTATAATATTTTTCTTACCAAATCAAGCTAATATCTTTAGAGCAAAAGTATTTCCACAGAGTTACGTCAACTTTTTGAAAAACGAAGTAGATAAAATGATGAAGAATACAATTCATTTGAATAACGAGTGTAATGATTTAATAGCTGTACTTCTACAGTTACAAAGTGAAGCCAAAAATATCAATCACAGTTTAATAAAACATCCAGATTTCATACTATCGCAAGTTGCAATATTTTTAATAGCTGGTTTCGAAACGTCTTCTTCGTTAATTGCTTTCACTCTATACGAAATGGCTAAACAACCTAAGTTACAGTATAATTTACGCTGTGAGATTAAAGAGATATTTTCCATTATAAATACTTCACAATTTACCCATGAAACTTTATCGAGTATGACTTATCTGGACATGTTGGTTTCTGAAGCTTTACGTATGTACCCTGCAGCTGCTTTTATAAATCGGGAATGTACTCCTAATGGAAACGATGTTGGATTTTCATTAGAACCGTTTGTCAACTTTGACATACCGAAGGGTATGCCTGCATATATTTCAATACTTGGTTTACATCGAGACTCAAAGGTAAGTATTATACTAATAACTTTCTTTTTTCAAGTTAAAAAAAAATTATAAAAAATTGCTTTTTATAGTATTGGAAAGATCCAGATCGATTCGATCCCGATCGGTTTTGCTCAGAAAGAAAAAAATTAATTCATCCAATGACATATATTCCCTTCGGTGCTGGTCCCCATGCCTGTGTCGGTAGTCGTCTGGGTATTTTACAAATTAAACTTGGTTTAGTTCATATATTTAAGAGTTTTACTGTCGAAATCTGTGAGAAAACAGCTTCAAAAATAAAATTTGATCCGAAGTCGTTTATGTTGCAGTCAAAGGGAGGCATTTATCTCAAATTTCGAAAGCAAAAGTTATTGAGTAACACATAAAAGATAAATTAAAAGTTTTGTTTAATATATACTTAATTTTATTATAACAAAGATTTTTTTCATATGTAATATTTTATACAATGACACAATGTAATTTTGTTCTTCAATAGTGTAAAATATAAAAAAAAATTTTAAAAATTATGTAAATGTAATATATAAAAATTATTTTGGTTAAAAGTCTCGGGGTCCACATTACTGTCCTCTAAATATACTAACTAAGTCTATTTGAAGAACGATTAAAAAATTGCATAGCATAAACATCGTCTAAATATACTTACACTCTGCCTATTTACGCAGAAGAAGATTTTGGTCAGTAATCTAAGGTTACGTTTTTACCAGATTACATTGGTGGGTTGATGAACTCTTTGACGCTACGCTATCACCTTTTGCGTAATGACTTCATCGTGTAGCCGCTTGAATGGTTTGTTTTTATTGCAAAATTTTATTTATCGATAAGACTCATTCTGTTTTAGTGACATTGCCAGTACTCGAAATTCAGGCTTTTAGTGCGAGATATAATTCAACGTTGATCCATCAATTACTGACTTTCCTTGAAAAATGCACTGTTGAAAATGATTGTGTCATCATCAATGACGAATGATAAAGAGCCATTTTTGAAAATTTTTTTGTATACATGGTCATGAATAAGCATAGTCTAAAAAGTCTTCGGTTTCAACAAGATTACGCAATATTCTAGATTTCAAAATAAACCATCGAGTTATTGAAGGAAGAGATTGATGAAAAAATAATCTTTAGAAACGGTCTTGTTGTCTACGCTCGATCTCACTCTTGCAATCTGAATAATAAACAAAAAAATATTGGCTTTACTTAAGACAGGAGTTATATAGAAACTTAAATATATAAATATACAAGAACTGAAGTACGACCCTTTGTGATAGTCGATGATTACTAAAAGGGTAATGCTAACATCTCTTAGTATTACAATAAAAAAGTTTTTTAAGCTATTTTGATAACCTTTTTGTTATTTTTTAACAAGATACTGCACGTCACACATGCTACGCATCACTAGCTAAGTAATAATCTTACACCTCATTTTCATTGTTAAGTGGGTTCTACACTTACCCGATGTAAACTAAAGGCGACTAGGAATAAACGGGATATTAGCTCTCAACGGAGCGGAGCACTGCGACCATGATTGATGTTTTGTGCTGCTAAAGGTGATATAAAATACCAAAGTCGTGATGTGGAGTGCTTGTTTGTTGATTGACTCGAATCCATAATTCAAGCAAAAGACGCCTATATTGGAAATTCGATATTAATTTAATATATAACTGTTTTTTAATTTTTTTTTTTTTGATTCAATATAATTTAATTTTAAATAAAAAATACTGGTTGGTGTCAATTGGATTAGATCATCCAGTCCTCAATAGCTTCAAGTAGAGACGCACATTTTTTTCAAATACTACAATATGGATGTACATATATTTTTCGCTAATTATTTTGCAATATAATCAATTATAACTTTTTAATTATTCATTGACGTGTTTTCGGTAAAAAAAATGGAACTATCATTTTAAAGTAATGTGAATCGACTGCTTGTTTGATGTTTATCAGTATGATAAACATGTTTTTATTCTATTTAACTATAATATCACTAGCATTTAATACCAAAAAATTTCTGAAGTTTTTAAAGTACTTCTCTAACATATTAATGAATATCCGTCACACAATTATTTTTGTTTATTTTATAAAAAATTTACGCATAACTATGTATCTATTTTAAACTAGATCAAATTTTTATAAAAAATATTTTATGATTCCCATAGATGTTGTGGACTTGACCATAGAAAATATACGATTGCTGAATAATTAATTATCAATATTTGCTTTTGGAAGCTAACTGTTGTAATTTATATCGGTAAAGTATTTTATATGCTAAGCATTGCTGGATTATTAATTTTAGTAAGAAAATAACAAATTAACTGTTGACCTATAAAAAGTATCATCAAAAATTATTTATAGTTTTAATTTAAGAATATTTAAATTTTTAAATTTTTTAGCAATTCCAAACTAAATTTTTTTTCCATTACTTCATAAATTGAATTTTATTATCTCTCATTCAATCTCTTTCCAAATATTTGATCTCTTTTAAATAATAATTCTTGTTGTTAGAACCAAATCGCTACCGTGCAAGTAGTATCGGTTTTAGCGTTATCAGTGACCTGTGCGTTATTACTATGGTCCTCTCTACTATCGAGAACTATACATATGAAAAAAGTAAAAACAAAAGAAAGGTAAAGAATGATAAAAGAAATGAAATTATAAAATAATAGGTAATCATAAAAATTACTGTTTATTAAAAACAAGAGATATTCACACCAAAGTGAACGCTTGCGAACGAACGAACATTTGCAGGTACCATTACCTGGAAACCAAGGCGTATTAATAGTAGAGTAAGTTTTTCTTTCTGTGCCCATTACCTTTTATGCAGTTTCTATGGTTCTTTGAATCGATATAAAGTCAATGACATATTTTACATACATCCCAGAACCTGTTACCATTACCTTCAGCAGACTTAACGTTTTAGGCCTTCTGTGGATCTGATTTGCATAGCGTAGTTAACTGTTTAAACGATCCTTACTGCATCTATCGAATGAGTCGATACCATAATTCTACTTGATTGAATTTTTAATATCATTAAAATCGTTACACCATCTTACCGATAACTTATCCATACTAAATTCTGTATGTGAAATCAAAATCGGTGTGTCTTGTGATATATCTGTGATCTCAGCAAGTTTGTCGAAAATTATGTATAACTTATGTTACGGATATACTTAAACTTTTGCGGGGACAAATTTAAAAAAATTCTTAACTTCGCTCCCCCACCTATAAATCGTGTAAACGAATTCGTAGTTCAAAGTGTTAAAATTTTTTTATTCAAACGTAAAAAGTTGCCTCAACTTTTTTTGGGTTTCGGATTTAACTTTTGTTAAATCCCAAACAATGAAGAGAAAAAATATTGAAATACAATAGAAAAAATTTTTAGCAAAGATACAAAAAGATATTGAAATTAGTTTTAAACTGAAAAAGGGCAAAAGTAAAAACAAAAATTAGTTCACTAAACTCGTTAAAGACAGTCCAAAAATTGAATATGTATGAATTTTTTGCCGTTTTGTGTAATTTTTTGTTTTGAATTCAATAAATTTGCTATTATTTATTGTAAATATTTCAAGGTTAATTTGTGCAGATTGAGAAAGTATACATTCCACTATTCATTTTCTAATAAATTGTATACGGTGCTTACATATCGATATAATGATTTTTACCCAACGACAACAACATCTATCTTGTAGCTTGGTTTGGACTACGTGCGTAAAACCACTTTCATGTCAAGTCAAGATCAGATATTGTCAACATTGGTCTAACATTTGCAAGTCATTTATTTATCTGTCATTGATGTAATTGCATGTGTACTTGCATTTAAGAAAATAATTATGAAATCTACAAAACAATTATGTTTTTATTCCAAAACCCAAAAAAATCAATTAGATCGCATGACGAGTATGGGACTTTGCGCCCAATTGCAGTGAGGTGCAAATTTGATTAACACCATCGACCGCCTTATGGAGCTTTTCGTTACTCATAATGCTCTATGCTCTAATGATTCAACTGACCATAACATTGGCCGTGAAATTGATCTTATCTAACCATCAACTTTACAATTTAGACGAACTCAAGTTCAAGACAGTAAAAATTATCATAGGCGTTCATATTTCGGCTTCATTTAAATTGTCTACGCGATGTGTTAAACTCTTTAGCGTAAATAGCGGAAGCTGTATTTTCATCAAATAAAATATTTAGTGATCATTTGTTAATAAAATAATTACACAATTGAGTTATAATTAAATATAAGTACTTTGAATATTATAGGTTTATCATGACTCAAACACACACGATTTCATATTGATTTATAATATTTATATTTAATTAAAAATGTGGTTGTTATAACAAAATGTCATTCGGAAATATCCGAAAAACTATAATCTCTTTATTGTGTTTTTATATAGAATTTTATTATTATTATTATTGTTAGGGGATGTGGCACTGTAAGCGTCGGGGCTATTGTGACCCCTTCTGGGTTTAGAGTAGGTCTCTAAGTACTGTTGCGTCAATAAAAAGTAGTATAGAAAAGTAAAAGTAGTATAGAACCTACTTAACAGAGTTTAATTGCCTCTTCCATAAGAATATACATTTTCAGGAGCCTATTCCGTATGTGCATTAGCGCAGGGCAATCAAACAGCACATGTGGGGCCGACTCCTCATTCTCTTCGCAGAATCTACAGTTTGCATCCGTAAATATACCCAGTTATAAAGAATACTGGGGGATAAATTTAGACAATTGTATTCATAACCAATAAAGGATATTATCTTAACTGGTGAGCGTTGTTTGATGACTTTCTAAATTATAACTTTGTTGTTATAGGTACATTATGTTCCCGATTTCAAGTTGATCTTTTTTGATCAAAGATAAGATCTGTATAACAAAGTATCATTCGGATATATTAAAAAAAAAACAATTCATTTATTATTTTATAGTAATCAATTTTATAGATTACTTTTTTGTAATACCACACAGCTGAAGACAATAAGTTCGAATCAGTTTGATGATTGCTTTATAGATTATAACTTTTTTTGTTTGTTACGATTTCCTATCGGAAATACACTGTATATAGTTGCCAATTTGAAAAAAAAAACAGGTAAATTAATATTTTGGAATAACAGGAAACAGAAAGTATTACTACGTATATAGTCATAAACTAATTGGATAGCACGCGTTATAAAGTTATTAGTAAGGAAGCTGAAGGACAGATTTCGCATATAATTAAGTTAATTATTTATCCAATATTTTCGACAAGCAAAAATAAATAAAAAGCAAAAGCTTTTTTATTTATCTTTAGTTTTTTTTATTTATTGTAGAAGCAAAAAAAAATCATTCGCCATTAGTAAGAGGGCTATCTTATTCCAAAAGGTCCTTGTGTTTGTTACGTTGGCGGGCTATAAAATTTTTTTTTTAAAAGGCTACTGAAAG